TCAATCAATACCAATTTATGCACATATTTAATTTTGCATTAACTCAAATTAACATCTACGATAGTTCAACGTTAAGCACATAGTCGAAAGTTCACTATGTTCCCAATCCTCGTCCACAATTCTATTGTTTCACTATCATAAACTTGATTTCATAATGCAAAATTCCATGGATTCTAAGTGAGAATCACATTAATTCTTCCAACTTCAAGACTCCCACTCAGTTGATGAATCAAATAGTTCTTGGTGAGATTTTCTCAAATCTTCCAATCATCGAACTATCACTCAACTAACAATCAATAGGTCTAAGTAAGAATCTCACTAATTCTACTGACCTTAGCATTTATACAATACACGAGTCAATGGATATAATGTATTTTCATAAATATGTACATTTATCCAATAATATAATTTCATAATATGCAATTATGAGATATATCATAATTGTCAACCATGCTTTAATATTCATTGAAACACAATCCCAACGAATGGGAAGTAACATCAGAAATTTCATATTTTGCTTCAATATCCCAAAAAAAAATTCACATATTCCACTATATTATGTTTTAGATTCATTTATTTTAAATTTTAATAAGCACGTAGCTTTTCAACAAGTCTCATAACTGTTATTTCTCTAGCCTTCCCTCTAAGGATGCTATAAGTGTGCATAAATCCAATAATATATAATCAAGCAAAAAATTAGAAACAAATCATAATTGATCACATAACCTAATCAAGACCTATAAAACTCATGAACGTATATAAAATGCGGTATTAAAATACATTCGGAGTATTTTTCATTCAAAAAATGAAACACTTCAAAAAAAAAAAAAAATTAATAATAATAACTCCCACTAGGCAAATACCACTTAACAAATATTCTTGATCTTTATAAAAAGTTTCAGAGTTTGATTGAGTCCCAAAAAAAATATTTTCTTGACTATCTGAAAATTAATTTTAATTGCACACAAAAATCAAGAATATTTGAATGGCCAATTTGCAATTTTCAGAATTGAAGTCAGGTTTCGTATGCATCCTCATATGCATGACCAATTTATAATCTTCTAAATTGAATTTTGAATAATCAACTTCCGAAAGAAAATAATTTTGGGACCAACATACAACTTTTCAAATTGGTATTGGAATAAACAACATTAAAATAAAAAAAGTTTTGGGACCAACATGCAATTTTTCAAATTGCATTTGAAAAACATTCAAAAGTGTGGGACTAACATTCAATTTCTCAAATTGCATTTGGAATATTCAACATTCAAAAAGTGTGGGACCAACATGAAATTTCTCAAATTGCATATACAGTAATTGAGGGACCAATATGCAATTTCCAAACTTTGAATCCCACTCCACGGCAACAGAAATATTTTATTTTATTTTATTTTTGTTACCATTCATCGTCTTTAAAAAAAAAAATGGTAGCTTTCTCAGATTTTTCTCAAAATTTTGAAATGCTATAACTTTCTCAATGTAAGTCCAAAATTTATATTTTTTATACCGTTGGAAAGATCTCGAGAAGATCTATCCAACCATATCAAATGAGAATCATAAGACGCAACGTGGAAGAAGTTATCATCTGATAAATTTTTAGATTTTACCGATTTTTCATGCGAAAATCAGATTTACATATAGACTTCGGGAGGTCATAGCTTCTTCATTCCAAGCCCAAATTTTATGTTCTTTATACTGTTGGAAAGGTCTCAAGAAGATCTATCCAACCATACCAAATAAGCATCATGAAACATAGTGTGAAAGAAGTTATCATGTGATGAAGTTTCAAATTTGACCAATTTTCACTCCAAAAATCATATTTATATCTAAATTTCGGGAGGTCATAACTTTCTCATTTCAAGCCCAAAATTAATGATCTTTATATCATTGGAAAGGTATTGAGAAGATCTATCCAACCATACCAAATGGACAGTATTTAACTTATTGTGTAAAAAGTTATCATGTGATGAAGTTTCGACTTTTATCAAGTTCCATGCAAAAAATTCAGATTATTGTCCAAATTTCAAAACTTCAAAACTTCTTCATTTCATGTCCAAAATTTGAGTTCTTTATATGGTTGGAAACCTTATGAGCAGACCTTTCTAACCACACTAATCTTACTGCATGAAGATGGATGAATAGATGGCAATAAATTATCAAATGATGTCACTAAATACCACATAAGGTTTCAAAACTTTGCATACAAGATTCATAACCCAATTCTATCATGTAATGGCATAATTAAGCATGAATTATAGCAAGGAATTCAACCTTATGGCTCTGATACCAATGAAGAAAAAATCATAGCATGCTTTGACATGAATTTTGGGTTAACAAACTTACTAGAAAAGATGAATTTCAAGATCTTTGTGTGATTTAATCACATTGCCTTCAAATCTCTAAAATTTGCATTTTCTTGTACTCCAATGGTCCAAATTACGATCACAATGGAAGGGGATTATTCTTCACAATCTAAGTGCCATTTCTTGTGAAACTTCATGCCAAAAATGTGGTTTTAGAGGCTTTTCAATTTTGGTGTAAATTTACGTACGAATTTTCACCATAATTTTCATACTACCTTCTTATTCCTTTTTCCACAACTTCTATCTAGAAGTTTCAAGTGGTTACTTGGGAGTTATATGTTTGAATTCTAAATTCAAACCACTCCCTCCAACCCTTATAAAATTCTGCGGGTCGGGTCACCCCACATGGGCGACCCATTATCCGTATTTTCCAACATCTTTTTTATATTTTAGTTTAAAGATATTGACAGCCTACTAAGCAATTTTGCTCGCTTTAATGGACGTTGATGGTTACCCATTTTCTTTTCAAATGGTCTGTAAATAGTAAAAATAGAGTCAATAAATTTTTCCGGTAAATTGAATATGAGTTTCAAACATGAGTCGTAACAAGTTAGCCTTATAACTACAATTTTTTACCTTTTAACTGTGTTGCAAGTTAGACTTAGTAGATAGTTTTAATCTTATATAGGCGATTATACTTTGTTTCAATTAAAATAAAAGAAATATTTATTTACTGAAATTCAGTGTTACTGACGTAACTAAATTTACACTGCTTACCTACCACTTCGACATGAAGAATATTAGTTAGCAAATGGCATATAAGTGAAATTACAAAGGGGGCCGCCGAGGGCCACGCGGTTTGTTCATAATCCCAAAGGACAAAACTAGCGTTCGCTTTCTAACAAAAGTAGAAGAATATAAGTAGGGTCGGTGTCGGCATTGGGGGCCGGGGTCGGTGTCGGGCCATTGCAGCTGCTACTGTGGTACGTTTTATCATATTGAATGAGGTTGAGGTGAAGTTGCATTATTAGATCTTGATCAATCCTCTCCACTTGCCATGTCTGGTTTTGTCCCCATGAGTATGTTTTTATTTTACTTTCTTTTTTATTTTTTATTTTTTGGAGAGAAAGTGAGTTTTATATGGAAGCTCTATTAAATCACATGTAATGTCACACAACCAAAAATCTTGATTAGACAGCGCGAACTTTGAGCTATTATAGTTGTTATGATTTTGTAATACACTCGTTTGAACTAACCAATAGAAACAAGAGAATAGCATTTGACTGTTTGAAGTTCTGATGTAATATTAAAATTGATTGAACTGAAGAGGACAGTATCGGACTCCCAACCCCTATTCAAAAGGGTTTATTATACTGATTTTATTGAAAAATTATACTACTCTTGAAAACTTTTACTCTAACTTTATTCTTACTTTTTCACTACTTAGGCTTTGTTTGAGCCTCGTTAATTTGAAGAAATGTCTTACGGAAAAGTTTTTGATTTGTATTTAATATTATTTTAATGAAGAATGTGTGGTTAAAAATGGATACTGTAGAAAAAATAATGGAAAAGAATGTAAAGTAAATGATGATAAATAGAGGCTTAAGTATTGATTAGGTAGATCATATTTTGTATGTATATGGGGACTACTTGATGGAGTGGAGTGGATTGGATGGATCGGTCGAGGTGAGATTATTTGCATGGGGTGGGCTTGAAATAAATAGTGCTAGGAGTAGTAAAAAGCTTAATTCGCATTTCATGTTAGCTATAACTTTCGAAAAAATTAGTTGTTTCTTCCTACATCGTCATGAATCAAATTCACTCGTTTTATAATAGCATCCTCTCGAGTGATATTTTTATGGAGAACTATTTTTTTCTGAACTAGCAATAAGGAACACAAAATACATATTCGTTTGGCCCCTATTAATTTTCATTCTATTACATTTTATTTTTCTCTCTCCTATTTTCAACCACACAATCTTCCATAAAATAATATTACGCGTAAATCGAAAACTTTTCCTTCATTTTTAATCACTCATTTTTAAAAAAAAAATACTATTCCATCTATTTTCATTTTAAAAAAATGGGGGCCAAATGGGGCAAAGTATGATGCCAACATATAGAATTATAGACTACAACGTCGTCAACAAAAAAGGCAAGCATTATCAAAACTGAATAGTATTTAAGTAGATTATAGATGAATCAGAAAGGAAGGAAATACTGCTGCTAACTGGTTGGCTAATACGTCTGTTTAGAGGTTTATGTAACGCGATTGCTACTCAAAGTTTATGCTGTCGAAAGTTTCTTGGAACATAGGTCTGTTTTCCCTTCTTTCGCATTCATTTTTCAGTCGACAGACAAGGAATGGTAAAGAAAGAAATTGAACCAGATGGAATAGAAAATTACAATCATAAAGCATGAATTGTACACTAAAGTTTAGAAACTTGAGAAGAACATAAGAAATTCCAAAGTATAAATTTGCAATATATGATGCAGCATTCCAAAATATGAGTTGTTCATAGTTACGGGGGCTTTTGCTTGATTATTTCAGCGGAGAAAACAACTTCAAGGGATTTTTCCAGCTCAAAACAGATCTTTTTCGTCCACCACAAGTCTCTGTTAAATAAAGCCAAAGGATAGAGTAAGCTCTCCAATTAAGGAGCTGCATTAGTTTAAGGTCAGTTGCAAAAACAGGTCTGCATAAAAACATAATCTTTTTATGGATTTCTTAGAGTTGCATCTGCATAACTTTGCTTTATTATTTTGCTAGAGCAAAATTAGATTTATAAATCAATATAGATTACTAAATTGTAGAGACTGGAACTATAAACGCTCTCAAAGTTTATATATAAATAAAAATCTTTCCTTTTATTCTAATCCAGCCAACACGCATGCCCACAAATGCAAAACTTCAAGATCTTCATCCTCTTCTCTGTAGAAGACGTCTTTTGATAAGGCAAATCAATTTGTCTAGGATTTTCGCGAAGAGAAGATTGATTGTTTAGAGCCTAAACAATTCAACTTACTCATCATATCAAGAAAGTGAACCTGAAACATGAGCGGCATTAAGTCCGATATTCAGCTTATAGTCATAAATAACCACCAAATGCCATTTCGAGACATTGTAACGGTATGTCCAACTACTTTAATAAACCAAAATCCAATCTCACGGCTTATAAAATTTCTAGAATTTGCTTCACAAATTTTTGCAACTGTGGTAATTTATCATATGTAGTACTTGGTATACATACTATGTTGGGAATCCTAGAACATACTAAACAAACTATAGTTATTAAGACGAGTCTGGGCCATGCATCTATCAGTGGAAGAAGCAAACTCCTCCATTTAGCAATTGAGATCTTTCCCTCCTGCTAAAGCATTCATGCCTAACAAATTAACTATCTCCAACATAGAGCACTAAACATAAATTTCATATTTGATATGAGAAAGAGGCGGAAAAGAGGAACATTTGAAACTAATTGCTGCGTGTATGCAACAGGTCTAGAGATCAATAGACTCTCCATAGAAGAGATTCATTTGTCAGATATTTATTTGATTTTGATTAGAAGGATGTCAATAAAAATTGCATAATTTTCAGAAAGAAAATTACCCAATATAATAAACAAATCATTTCAACGACAATACTCTTAACGAAGAAGGTGGATAGCAACTATACCGTCAAGCTAAAATTGGATCTCACTAAACTACAAGGAAAAGAGGGATCGACAAACCAAACTGGTAGACTTATTGTTTTAAACTCAATATACATTGAAGATTAGAGAAACTAATTCAAAAATTAGTACCCACAAACCATTTATATTTTTTCCCACTTTTTTCCTTTATGTTGATATTGGGGAGAGATTTTCCTAACTTCCTGGTACACAACACTTTCTTCCTTTTCTTTTCTTTGGTAGTGATACCACCAAAAAGTTAAGAGAACTACTAGCACAGTTGTCCTTTTAAGTAAAAAATTAATTTTCACAAACAAAACCTACAAACAGAAATTCACTGTAGGCCCTCCAAATGATGCGTCCCTTACTCAAATATTTTGTGTAAACATATAACATCGTGTTAATTTTGATTTATTTCTTCCTCTATCTACATCCTGCCAGGCTCATGTTGCACTGCTGGAAATTATAACCCAGACTTGTGACATGAATTGTCAAGAAGATTCATGAACACTGGTACAGCACCTAATCGCCTACCAATGAATCTTGAAGAATAACCATGAATTTTGAAATAGATTTATGAATGTTGGCTCACAAGAATTATATACTATTTATTTGAAGAAAATAATTATGAGCCCTATAGGATGCATGCATAGACATTAAACTTGATGCACATACAAATAATAATAGGAGTCTAAGGAAAATGTATGAAAAAGAGAGAAACAAGCAAGAAGCTATTGTAAGTAAAGCAGCAAAAAAAAAAAAAAAAAAAGGAAAAAAAAGTTCAAAAAAAAAATTTTTCTCTTATAGCATTCT